TGGGATATATATATACAATGGAATGTTACTCAGCCATAAGAAAAGATGAAATACTTCTATTTGCGACAACATGGATGGATCTTGAGATTAACATGCTAAGCGAAATCAGACAGACAGAAAAAGTTGAGAACCATATGATTTCACTCATATGTGGGATATAAACTAAAAGCAACAAATGAACAAGACAAACAGAGACTCATGGACACAGACTATAGACTAGTGGTTACCAGAGGGTAGGGGGTGGGGGAAGGGGAGAAATAGATGGAGTTAAAGGGGTCGAATATGTGGTGAAATCTACTATGGGAGGCGAACACACAGTGTAAATATGTATATGCCTTAATGTTAAAGTGTACAGATGAAACTATTGGATTTCATTAACCAATGTCACAATAAAAAAATTAAAAATTTTTAAAAAAGATTGAAACTAAACTGCTATCTGTCACTATACACTAAAATTAACTCTAAATGGATCAAAGACCTAAATATAAGACCTGAAACAATAAATTACACAGAAGAAAACATAGGTACTAAACTCATGGACTTTAGATTTAGAGAAAATTTTATGAATTTGACCTCAAAGAGAAGGGAAGTAAAAAGTAAAAATAAATGAATGGGACTATAAAAAACTAAAACTTTAGCACAGGCAAGAAACCATCGACAAGAGAAAGAGGCAACCAACTGAATGGGAGAAGATATTTGCAAACGATGCCTCCAATAAGGGGCTAATATCCAAAATATATGAAGAACTCATACGACTAAACAATAAAACAAACAATTCAATTCAAAAATGGGCAGGTGACCTCAACAGACACTTCTCCTAAGAAGACATACAAATGGTCAGACATATGAAAAGATGCTCAACCTCACTAAGCTATTAGGAAAATACAACAAATCACAATGGGGTACCATCTCACACCTGTTAGAATAGCTATAATCAATAGAACAAGTAATAACAAATATTGGAGAGGATGCAGAGAAAAAGAAACTCTCATACACTGCTGGTGGGACTACAAATTGGTACGACAACTATAGAAAACAGTATGGAGATTCCTCAAAAAACTAAGAATTGATCTACCATATGATCCAGCAATCTCTCAACTGGATATTTACCCCCAAAGACTCGAAAATCCATATCTAAAAAGATATTTACACACTTTTGTTCATAGCAGCACTATTCACAGAGGCCAAGACATGAAAACAAACAAAGTGCCCTTTAATAGATGATTGTCTAAAGATGTGGTACATATATAAAATGGAATATTACCCAGCCATAAGAAAAGATAAAATACTGCCATTTGCAACAACATGAATGATCTTGAGATTATCATGCTAAGCAAAATAACTCAGAAAAAATCAAGACCCATATGATTTCACTCATATGTGGGATATGAAACTGGAAGCAACTAATAAACAAGACAAACAAATAGACTCATGGACATAGACAACGATTTAGGTGGTTACCTGAGGAAAGTAGGAGAGAGGGTTTGATAAGATTAAAGGGGATCGAATATATAGTGACAGAAAGAAATTTAATTTTGGGTAGTGAACACACAATGCATATACATATGATATATTATTGAATTTTACACTTGAAACCTATACAATTTTCATTAACCAATAAATTCCACCCCAATCAATTTAATTAAAAAATGAGTCCATGGCAGTAACTTTAAATCATTTATTAACTGTTGGCAGCATTACAAAGCTCAATTTGACAAAAGGACAAGTCAACAAAGGATAAGTCAACAAACTCTAGAAGGATATCTTCAGGAAAAAAATGGAACTGATGGATTACCTAATAAATCTGACCATTTGGTAAATAGGCAGTGGTTTTAAGACCATGCTCCTGGTGTTCCATGAATGTGGCTGGGGGCAGCATTGGGAGGTGAAGTGAAAGCTGTCCAGCCCCACGACCTTCTTTCAACAGTTTGTTTTTAAACATTGGATTTCTTGGTATTTCTTTTAAAAAAAAGAAACACTTGGTTTTACATTTTAAAATAACAGCATTATCCTGAAACCTACTCTTTCAAACTAATAAGCTCTCTCTCATTGGAAGTGTACCAGCAGAGGCTGAACATCCGCCCTACAAGGAATACGGAAGAGATCCTGCATTGGGTGGGAGTGGACTAGCCAGTCACTTCAGTTCTGAGATTCTATAAATATGACATTATATTTTATTACTGGGTAGTCAGATTTCATACATAATGAGGACACAATTACTTTTCTCTGTGAATACTGCTAAACTCTTTAAAATAAAAACAAATAGCACTTTAAGAATAGATATTGAAAATGGTGGTTCAAGCACATAGGTTTGTTTCTTCTCCTTTCTTAAACTTTACTAAAATACAGGTAAAAAAAATTTAAGTATAAACTTGCAAACACAAAGAGAAAATGGATGAAGTCAAGAGCAGATGAAAGACTTCAACTTGTGTTTAGGTGAAAAAGAAACAAGAGTGGCAAATAATTTTTAGAACAATTTGACTTTGTGTATGTGATGATTAAAATAGTATTTAATTTTTTAATAACAAGAAATGAGAGTAGAATGGTATGGGAGAGTAGAGAAACTGAACAGTGGTAAACTAATCATAGATGTTATAATAAATATTTAAAATTTTTAGAAAAACCTTAGAGAAGAAAAGTCTATCAGACAAAAAAATCTATGTAGAAAATTTATGGATGATTTTGTCCTTCTAATAAAAGTATAAGTTTCTGTTTAAAATTATACTTTATCCCACTAAAACCACAATTATTCATTTAAAGTACACTACTCAAGCCTGTTTACTACTAGTATGAAAGTGAACATTAAATTCTATTTTGTTTCAATTATTAAAGAATAAACATTCTAAAATATGGCTTCTTACAACAAATTTCTGTATTATTCTTCTAAATATACCTTTTATGTGGTATAGGAGCAAGGGATAAAACAGAGGCTGGGGAGAACGTAAAGAAATTTTCTGCACAATCCTTTTTCCTTCTTACCATAATGCCTCAGAAAGAATGGAAAAATCAGACACAAAACTAGAATTACTAACCTTGACTCAGGTCTATGGACCGACTCTTGTTGCCAGTCCAATGGGAGACAGAACAGGACACAGTAGACACATCGCTATCTGCCCAGTGGCATGTACTCTGGACAGTCACTGTGCCATTGTCCAGATATTCTTGCTCAGTGACACAATCTCCTTCTGGGGTCCAGGAGATCTGTGCAGCTGGCTTCCCTGCAATTGCCTTGCACACCACAGTTTTATTCTTGCTTTGAAACAGGGTCACCTCAGGGGCCACTGCAGAGATGTAGGGAAGAGAAAACTCGTATATGATGCCCCTTACCTGACACTTGGAGGTGATAGCGCACATGGAAATTCCCATCAGGTGTTGCCATCTGACACCCGTAATACCCATCATGAGCGATGGCCACTGGATCAATCTGAAGGGTAGAAGTCTGGTCAGGTCGGAAGGCCCAGGTTATTCTCTTGTCAGTACAGTTTAGTTCCCTGGTCTCATTTGTATCTCTCCTGTAGGCTCTGGTGCAGGGAGGCTTGTCTCTGAGGATTATTTCCCATGTCATCAACTCTGTTTTCAACAGGGTAGGATGGCAAGGGAGCACGACTTTTGTATCCACCAGTACAGACCGGGAAACATTAACTACACACACACACACATACACACACAAAGAATGATTGGGAAAAGACAAAAAAAAAGCTTGGTAAATAAGGGTGTTAAATTTTCCATAACATATTACATTGAAGTTGTACTAGAACATTACTTGCTGGTGGTCTTATTCCAAAAATGTTAGACTTACATTAAAAAAATTAAGCATTTTCAAAATGTACATAACATATGACACCGAATCCAAAGATTAACTCATTTTCTCCTATATTGTGTATTATTAGGTAAACAATATGTATTATATGTGTAAAAAATATTTTAAGTATTTTGAAATTAATTCAGGAGTTTTGATATCTATGAAATGACCAAGAACACACAATTCTCAATTAAAAGGCAAAGACAATGAATGTTCTGGTCAGAGACCATTAGATTTATTTTATAACTCATGCTCCTCAGGACAGAAAATGGAATAATTAGTGATGTGGTTGTGGCCTCCTAAGTTCTGATAAGAGAGAATAAATCAGTGATATCAGAACTAAATACTGATCCTTAAGGGTGGTACTTCAGACAAACATAAATGCTGCAAGTATATGGTGTTAAAAATAACTGAGATGGCATTTGGGTTGAGCAAGCTGGAAATTTTTTTAAGTTTATTTTTTTTTTGGAAAATCAGAAAGTCAGCAAACTCAACCAATCTTTCTTCCTTCCTTCCTGTTCAGTCACACACTCCCAAAGAATTCAACTGTGAAATTTTCCCACAGATTTTGTTTCCATGCTTTCAATCTAATTATGAGGATTAAAAGTAGAAGCTGACCTCTTTTGCCCATCTTTTAAAGTAAAAATTAAGCCCTGCAACCTATAAGTGTTTTTCAACATGAAAGCCCATGCTTTCCCATAAACCTACATAATGTGTCCATGACTGGTGGAGGGTTTACTGAGAGATGATAAGGTATATCTGTTACAACTCACCTGTAATAGAATGTCAGTGACTTCATCGGTTTAACATGAGCAGAGCCAACTATGGCAAGGTAAAATTTTTATGTGAATGAAGCTTATTTGTGCTAAACTCTACATTTGATATCTTCTCTCCTTTCCTCTTTTGGTCACCTTCTTCTCCTGTGATGTACTCAAGCCTTTGAATTTTACAGCTAAATAAAGATCACTTAACTGGATGAAGAAAGAGGGAGGATTTTAAAGCAGATCTGAGAGGCATTAAATCCATGCTCTTTCCACCACTCCAGGTGGCATCCCCTTACAGAAGGAATCTCCAACTTGACAAAGGCTTAAAGGGAAGCAAGAACTTGACTTAGAGAACTAGAGTTGGGTGTGGGTAAGCACATATGTGCCACAAGGGAAAGATGCTGAAGATAAAACTAGAAATAAAAAAGACTGGTGAGGGAGCAAGTTGTGAAGGCTCTGTATTCTGAGGAGTTTGAACTATAGCTTGTAAACACTATAAGGTGTTAATGTGTTTGCTTAATATTTATTCTCAAGATCTATCTTTTTTTAGAGAAAGTATTAGCTAGTCAAATAAACATGTGTATTTTAACAGGGCCACAGTATCCAAGGAAGTAACTCCGATGATGAGGGTTCCAAGTACAGTGGATATTCTATGTTCCTTTACCTTCCTCCATTCTATGGACTTCAGTCAATCGCCCTTCTCCTTTAATGATAGTTCTGATCATATTGCAATTATTTCATCCTCTCTTCACTCTCCTTTTACTTTTTTTATATCTTTTTTAATTACTTTTTTTATAATTTACAATGTCCAGCCACTACCCCACACTAAATGAGTTTGCCACCCATCTAACACATATATCCTCATACACTGCTGTGATCAGCCAGGGTGATTTCACTTCTTACTTCACTGAGGGGATAGAGAGTAGATTCTCAAATTTGCTCCAAAGCCAGTAGTCATACATAGCTCGTCTTTTCTGGATCTTTTGTCTGTAAATACCCTCTAGTCTCATCCAGCCTTGTGCACTCAGACAAATTCAAATTGGCTTTTGGGCATTTCCTTTCTTTCTTTTCTCACTACCATCCCCTATCTTAAGTTCCCATCACCATGTACCTAGATTATTGTGAAAGTCTCCTAACTTCTATTTCTATTTCAAAACTATCCTGTCTTCAGTTCATAACTTACATTGCAGCCAGTTACATCATTCTATAACACAGATGTGATTCACTCAACTCTAATACCCTTTAGAGATCTCTCACTGCCTGAAGAAAACATTTAAATTCTTTGTATTGGCTTTGAGAGCCCTCTTTTTAAAGTTGACTCACCTTGCCAATCTTATCAACCCCTACATTGCCCCTTACTTCAGAAAGAGAACACCAAACACAATTTAATTTCTATGTCTTTCTTCACATTGTTCTTGACTCTGAGATGACTTTCACACTGCTCTTTGTCTAGTATAATATTCCTCTTCCTCTAAGACCCAATTCATGCTGCATCCTATGTGAAGCCTTCTCTGAGCCCTGGTGCTAACAGTTCTTTCCTCTACACTCCTGATACACTTGATGTGAGCACTCATCTCCTCTGCTTTATGTAATAAATGTGGTCATGTCTGTATGCTCCCATAAAACTGAGCTCCCTGAGGGCTCTCTGATAGTCTTGCTCATCTTTGTGTACCCCATAAAGCCTAGCACAGTGCCTAATAGAAAAAGCTCTATAATCTTCTAACGGAATTCAACTGCTTTGGGCAAGAGAGACAGGGTCATTTAGGGTCCTTCACACCACAGCTTTCAGACAGCCATATTCTTCAATTAGACACAAGGCTGGCCCTCAGACCAGACTAGCAACTTATTTATAAAGAAGTTTAACACTTTATCTCGTCAGTAGTAGCTTCTAGAAAAAAATATATTACCTTCTGCAGGAAGTTTTAAATGGTTCCGCTTCTTGTCCATAGATGAAGCTAGAAAAATATTCAGAGAAAAGTAAATTTTAGGCACTTAAATGGAATGGAATCCACTAGTTCTCCACAAAAACTTATGTAAACATGTTAGAAAATAAGTTAATCATAACTGAATAACATTAAAAGCCTTACAAACCAGAAATTAGAATTAGTCCATCATTAAATGGAAAAATATGTTAACATTTGAAAAGTACATTCATAAGTTATTAATCAGTATTTCTTATTTATGAGGTACTTTGTTTGGTGCTTGACAACTATTTTGCAAAGGGTGACCCTGCCCCCACCCCTTCTGCAGCCATCCCCGGATTAAAGTTGTTTGGTTCAGTGTTGGATACTTCACTCAGCTGGACAAATCAGAGTACTTTCTCGAGAATTCTGGAACCAGAACTGAGAAGAATAATTTATCCCTCTTCTTTCCCCATTTTTCCTACTATAATGGTTAATTTTATGTATTGACTTAGCTAGGACACAGTTCTCAGATATTGAGTCAAACATTATTCTAGATGTTTCTATGAAGATATTTTTAGATGAGATTAACATTTAAATAAGTAGACTTTGAGTAAAGCAAATTACCCTTCGTAATGTGGGTGGGCTTCACCCAATAAGTCAAAGGCAGAAAGGCAGCTCTGCCAGTAGACCACCTTCAGACTCAAACTGCAACTCTTCCCTGGGTCTCCAGGCTGCTCACCCACTCTGCAGATTTTGGACTTGCCAAGCCCCAACAATCTCGTGAGACAATTCCTTAAAACAATTCCTTAAAATCTCTCTCTCTCTCTCTCTCTCTCTCTCTCTCTCTCTCTCTCTCTCTCTCTCTCTCTCTCTCTCTCTCTCTCTCTCTCTCTCTCTCTCTCTCTCTCAACACACACACACACACACACACACACATCCTATTGTTCTGTTTCTCTGAGGAACCCTGATTAATGCATCTATCTTGGGAAGAATGAAGCAGAAGCAGAAGCAGAGAGACAGACAGACAGATAGACAGACAGAAATGACAATCTTTATCTAGCTGAAATTTCCAATTCCATAGTTCCTGAGACCTAATGCATTCCTTCTCTTGGGTTCTACAGAGTTTCTGATAATCAAAGTAGTCTTAATTTACTTTGAGTTTAGTTTCTGAAAAACTCTGTTTTGTAGTATTGTTTTTTAAAAAACAATGATTTTAAAATACTATTTATAATTTTAAGGCATAAAAATGTTCTTCCTCTGAGTTTATAAGACCACCGTTCGTGTGAGCCTTCCATTATAAAAATATATTTCTTGCTCTCCTATTCTAATTTTGCATGCAGTTCTACTACATTAAAAAAAATAAACAAAGACATTCAGTAAAGGCCTTAGAAATGAGCAGCAAATAGATCTCTGAAATAATTTGACTTTTCTAGGCAGCTAACTGTTATTGGCTTAGGTGAGAAGGAAGGTGAAGAGTGAGATTCTATTATATTTAGTCCATATTGGGCTCAAGAATCTGTTCTAGTAGCAGATAAAAAGTCAGAGCTGACCTCAGAAGGTTTACCCAGATCTAGATTTTCAAGCTCTAAAAATCATAGCTCTCACAATAGCTTAGCCTTTCCAGACCTCTTCCATCCTAACACAATCCAGCTTTCAAGTGTTCTAGGGTCTGTCGGTCTCTTCCATTGTCAAATTGACCACAACCAAGACTGAGAGTTTATAACAGAAGGAAATTTAGGATATGGGTACTTTGTGATGGTATTGTTGAAGTTTTCATTTGGAAACATTGAGAGGAAAATTTAAAGTTTTATTAGGAATAAGAGGTGGAAGTAAGGTGGGGTAGGAGTACTGGAAGGGAAAAATCAGGGTCTACAAATATTTCTATGAAGGGCCAAAAAGTAAACATTAGAGGCTTTGCAGTCCATATAGTCTGCGTTGCAAGTATTCAACTTTGCCATTGCATCTAGAAAGCAGTAATAGATAATACTTAAATAATGAGTGTGGCCTTATTCCAATGAAATTTTATTTACAAAAATATGCAGTTAATGAGATTTTGCTCATGGGCCATAGTTTGCTGACTCATGATTTAAAGTATAGTGATTTGTTTGCTCTAATTTCTTGTATTTACCATAATTAAAAACAATAAATACCTATTGGGTAGTCTATTTTTTCCTGCTTACTTTGCCTTAAAAATAAACTAAATTCCTACTAACAACTCCAAGTTTTCCCACAAGTAAAATAAATTTCCTATTTTGTTTTTATTATAAATAGCAACTCCATTCCCTCCTTCCTTCCTTCCCTCCTTCTCTCCTTCCTTTCTTCCTTCTTTCTTTTCCTTACTTTAAGTGAAGTGTGGCAAGTATTGAGGGTACCCAATAGGATTCTGATGAATAAGAAAATTACAATGTGCCCTGCTCCATTCCCAGTTAAAGTAGTTGACTAGTGATCAAGAGATGGTAGCCATGAAGACAAAGGTTACTTTAGCAGATAAGGGCTTTCCTTTGTGGGCATTTTGGCCTCTGCAACCATGAGACCTGCTCTCTATTTTTAAAAGTATAGTCTATTTCCAATGGAAAGTTTGAAGAACTCAGCCCCAATTGATGCCTTTAAGGAGATATTTAAAGGCTTTTCTTCTATCTTTTGAATTTTATGTCATATGCCCTATAGATATTATTACTTTTAGTGACAACGCAAATAATTTTCATGCTCTAAACTGTTAAATTGTTGCCATTTCAGTGGATTCTCATTTTAGAAAACTTGTCTGGGAATATTGGCAACTTGACCATATTAGTACTTATCAAATATAACTAAATAAGTGTCCAGATACTACAAGATTCTGTTAGAAGAGCCTGGTTTTACAATAAGTGGTGTCTTTATAAATGACTTAAATAATGTCTTCAAGTATTTGAGTTTCAGTGATCTCCTAGTGAGTTAGAATGTAAAAGAGACCTTCTGCTTAATAATTTTTCAGTGAATGGAGACCCAAGGAGAAATCTCTCAAATCAAGTACCAAATTCTCCTACAATCAAGCAAAAATCCACCTCCTTCCAAAAACTACCTTGAGAATCAGTAAATCGGGAAAATCAGTAAATTATCTTTACAACTTCTCATATCAGAGATAAAACTCATGAGTTAGAATGTACTCTTAGGTGTACAAAAATTGTTTTTAGAAGAATAAAAGATTTATGCTTATTTTTTCAAATATTATTCTAATTATTTTTAAAATACTGGATTTTTTTTTAAACTTTGTTAATTGCTAATATGTGAGTTTTATTATCTCGATTGGCAGCTAGTTGCTATAGAATTTCATATCAATAGAAAGTGTGTCCTTCTTACTCAGTCCTGCTGGAAGCTTTGTATACACGAAAGTAGTACAACAAATATTTAAAGCTTCTGATCAATGGTCCTGAGTTTTTCTTTAATTTCTTCATATGAAACCAAGTTTTCTTTTAAATTTAGAAAGATTATAGTTTTACATTGTTAACATCAAAAATCTAATTTAACTCTTTCACATTGTACATATATACATAATATACATATATAGACTGAAACAAATATGAATTGTGTTTTTAAAACATATTTACAGTAGAAAAGTAACTTAATTACTCATTATATTCACTTCCTTATAAATAATATATATAACAGTAAACTTGATCACTGAAAGCCAGAATCTGAAATCAAGGTTTTAGCAGGGCCATATTGCTTCCGAAGACTCTAGGGAAAAATCCTTCCTTGTTTCTTCCAGTTTTTGGTCACTGCCAACAATCCTTGGTGTTCCTTGATTTGTAGGTGTACCATTTCAATCTCTGCCTCCCTCTTCACATGACCTTCTCTCCTGTGTCTCTTAAGGATGCTAGTCATTGAATTTAGGACCCACTCTAATTCAGGATGATCACATCTCAAGAACCTTAACCTATTTACATCTTTGAAGAGTCTTTTTCCAAATACAGTGACATTCATAAGTTCCAGGTGGACATATCTTTTGGGGGGACCACCATTTAACCCACTACATTCATGTATTATCCCCACACCTCAGATTTATAGTTTATACAATTATTTTACTTATTTTATTCTGTAGATGGCTGTAAATATAGTTTATTCTGTAATTTTTCTAGGTAGTGAGTAATTGAATGTAATTAAAAGAGATATTTATTAAGTCCAAGAATGCATTTTGATATCATTGGAATTATTTTTACATTAAGTATTCAACGTAAGAAATATCACAGAAATAACAATTTAAAATATAAGGAAAAAGTTAACTGTAATGCAAACAAAATTTTAAGAGACAGTAGGGCTGGGTGGTAGGGCACAAAAAATAAACCACTAACATCTGCTAAGACCTATTTTTTAAAGTTTTTTATAAGGTAATAACATGTTTCCAAAATTGAATAAAAAATATTTTGGAAATTGATTTGTTTACTGATCACATTTTTGAAATGAGTACTAAATAAGCAAAAATAATTTCAGAATGAAAAATTTACCAACACTCTTAAACTTAAGCAGTATTTTCTTTAGAGAATTTTAGACAATACACACTATAAATGCATATAAGACTATTTAAAATTCTAAAACGTAAAAATTATACAAATATCAAGCACTCTCCTAGTAGAATTATCATTAAAAGATGAGCATTACCCAAACTGCAATTATCCTTGCCCATGTTCTGCGTTGAGCTGCTTACTGTAACAGAATCATCTACTTCTGTGCTTATGCACTCTGAAATAGGGTGGAGAGAGAAATATGTATTAGTATACCTGACTCCTAGTTAATTGCCAATGAAAATTCAAATTATGACAAGCAAGCAAAATTCTCAAAAAATTTTGCCCCAGTATAAACTTTTGACCCAATCTTCCTGCCTTTTTGTCATACCTTTACTTTAGGCCCAGAATGTCCCTTGCCACCTTCCTGTCTTCATATTCAAATCTAAGTATTTCTTCTCCCTGGCTTATATGTATTTAGTCTGTCTCTGTGGAAGACAGGGTTTTCCTATTTGTTACAGACTTTTTAGGCACCAGTGAGTAGGTAGAAAAGGTTTAGAAGCACTATGTTAACTAGATGCTGGTATGGAACTAAAAAGGATTTTCCTAAGCATTGTTGAAATCACATCATATATACAACTTATCTATTAACTTCAAATTTTATAGGGCAAGCTCTAAGTGAGAATTGCTAATAAATATATTTTGAATAGCAACTACTTGGCAAAGCACTTACTAGGCATAGAAACATCATAATAAAAAATATCTCTTCTCTCCAAGAGCTAAAGTTCAGGAAAGGAAACAACTATGTAAGCAAACATACTGTAAAGTTTTCAGAGTGATGATAAAAGTATGCATAATGTCCAAAAGCTAAAAAGAAGTGATGCTTAATTCTAAGAGAGCAGAGGTAAAAGAAGACTCCCTGCAACAGATGATATCTGAACTGGATCTTAGTAGATTGAGAGTTTTCCGGGAAGGTGGAAGGAAAAAGAAAATTGCACACACAGAAAGAATGGTTTTCACATGAGGTTTTCAAAGAACTACAAATAGTTCAGTATTGCCATAAAATGAGAAGAATTGGGTGTTTGATTAGCGTTGAGGCTGGATATTGGCAGGCTCTAACTATGGAAGGTAAAAAACTAGAAAGTGTTCACAACGAAGCAATATACTTCTAGTGCATCTACAGTTAGTGGACCTGAGCAGCAGAGAAACATTTAGGGTAAAATTTAATGCACAGTATTTTTCTGGAGAAATTTTGAATCTAATGTTTCTCTTAGTTGCCATCTTCTGTAATAAAATGCTATTTTAAAATAATAATTTTTGAGCACTTACGCTAGTAACAGATTTTTAGTAATTTGCATACTGACAGGAGTTATTATCTTCAAACCATTGTATATGTTTTGTGGGATAAATCAAAGGAGTTAATATGTTGGCATCATTCAATTTTGCAGTGTGGAAGAAAAGATACAGATGTAAAAATGAATAAGTTTAAGTAAAACCTCTGAGTTCTGAATTTGAGTCAAAAGTATCGGTATTGACTCATAATGTACTTTATTTTTAAAAATGCATCTTTCAAAAAGCTGCTGCTAAGTTTTGGGATAATTCATCACATTGCAATAGATAATTACTAACATAGCTACCAACTGCATTAACCTAATTGATATTTTTAGAACTCTTTACCCAACGACTGCAGAATACACATTCTTTGCAAGTTCACATGGTATATTCATCAAGTTAGACCACATTCCGTGCCATAAAGCAAGTCTCAAAAAACTTTTAAAAACCGAAATCGTACAAAAATGTAATCATATTAAAACAGAATTAAATTGGAAACCAATAACAATAAGACATTTAAGAAAACCCCAACTATTTGGAAATTAAACATGTTTCTAAATAATCATTTGATCAAAGAGAAACCTAAAAGGAAATTAGACAATATTTTGAACTGAATAACAGTAAAAATAAAATATATCAACTTTGTGATATACAGCTAAAGCAATGCTTATAGGAAAATTAAAATTTTAAATGTTATTTGGAAAAGAAGTATCTAAAACCCACCCAAAGGAGCTAAAAACAAAATAAAAAGACAAAATAAAAGAGGAGCTAAAAACAAACAAACAAAAAATAGAATAATAATGGTAAGAGCAAAAATCATTAAAATAAAAAACAAGCAAGACAGACATTAACAAAATCAAAAGTTGGTGTTTTGAAAAGATCTTCAATCTTTATAAGCCAATAACTAGATTTATCAAGAAAAAAAAAACAGAGAAATCAATTCTCTAATATCAAGAATGGAATAAGAAACATTAATATAGATACTATATTCATGAAAAAAATAAAAGAAAATTAACTATTTTATGCTAATCAAATTCAATAACTTAGATGAAATGGACAAATTCATTGAAAAATAGCTTTGAAAGCCTATTTTGAATTAAACGAATAATCCAAAGAGCCTTATAGCTATTAAAGAAATTGTATTTTATTTAATAAAAATTTTCCTACCAAACTGGCTTCACTGACAAATTTAAGCAAACATTTAAAGAAGTAATATCAGTTCTACAAACAAACTCCTTCAGATAATAGACAAGGAGGGAACAATTCCCTCCTCATTTTATGAAGGTAGAATTAACCATATGCCAAATCCAGATAAACCCATTACAAATAAGAAAAACAACAGACCAAGAACCCTTATAAACATAAGACACAAAAAAATTTACAAAAGAGTAGCAAATTAAATCTAACACTATATAGAAAGAATAATACATGATCATATAGCATTTCTCTCAGGAATGCAGGTTGATTGAACACTTAAAAATCAATGAAATTCCCAATGTCAAGAGAATAAAAGAGAGAAAAAAGTGACCAATTCAACAGATGTAGTAGAAAAAGCACTTGACAAAATTTAACATTCATTTATGATTTTTAAAACTCTAGAAATAGAAAGAAACTTCCTAAAACTGTTAAAGGACATCTATGAAAATCCTATAGCTAAATCATGCTTAATAATGAAATATTTCCCCTCTGAAATCAGGAACAAAGCAAGAATGTCTGCTCTAACTACTTCTTTTCAATATTACTAGAGGTTGTAGCCATTGAAATAAAGCAAGGAGAAAAAAGGCATATAGATCAGAAACAAAGACATAAAACTATTTGCTGATGACATGATTATTAGGAATCTACAAAACAAATCCCAGAACTAATTGAATATAGCAAGGTCATAGTATAAAATGCTAATTATATTTTAAAACAATTATATTTTTATATTCTAGCAGCAAACAATTGAAAAATAAAATTTAAAAACAAACAATTCCATTTACAATAGTAGGGAAAAAACTTGAGGAATAAATTTAACAAAAGATGTGCAAGGTCTGTACACTGAAAACTATAAAACACTACTGAGATAAATTAAAGAATACCTATATAGGGGAGATAAATACCTTGTTCTTGGACAGAATGACTCAAAATTGTTAAGAGATCAGTTCTCAAATTGGTCTACAGATTCAATACAGTCTTAATCAAAATCTGATAGTATTTTCCATAAAACTTGGGAAGCTGATTCTGAAATTTATATGGGAATGTAAACCTAGACCAGCCAAAGCAATGTTTTAAAAAACACAGATAACATTGGAAGATTTATGCTACCTAATTTCAAACTTTATCCTAAAGCTGCAGTAATCAAAGCAGTCTGCCATTAGCTGAAGACACATACTTCAATGGAACAGAACAGAGAGCCTAGAAATAGACTCACACACATATGATCTATGATTTTTGACAAAGATGTTAAGGTAATTTAAAGGAAAAGTGAAGTCTTTTCAATAGTTGATCATGAAATAATTGAATATCCATATAATAAAAAAGAACTTCAACCCTTACTTAACACTATACACAAAAATTACCTTAAAGTATATTATCAACTTTAATGTAAAAGCTAAGACTGTAATACTTCTAGAAGAAAACATAGGAGAGAATCTGTGACTTTGGCATATACAAAAAGGTTTTTTAGAATACAAAAAGAACAAACAATGAAATAAAATTTGATAAAATAGATATTATCAAAAATTAAAAACCTTTGCTCTTTGAAAAATATTTAGATAATAAAAAGGCAAACCATAGACTGGAAGAAAATATTCACAACACATGTATCGGATAAGAGACTGCTAGGTAGAATATGTGAAGAATTTTCACAATTAGATAACTTTTAAAGTCAATTTAAAAAAATTTTTTTAAATAGACAAATGACTGAACATTTAACACAAGGAAAGATATTCAAATGGCCAATAAATACATGAAAAAAATGTTTAAAAATAGTAATCATAAATAATATATAAATTTAAGTCACAGTGAGATAATGTAAGCATAGCTAAAACTAAAAAGACTGATACTATGTATCAGCAAAAATGTGAAGCAATTGAAACTCTTATACATCACCAATGGGGATGTAAAATAAATGTAACTACACTGAAAATTTTCTGGTAGTTTATTCAAAAGTCAAACATCTGCCCATCATACAACCTAGCAATTTCAATCCTAGGTATTTACCCAAGAGAAATGAAAACATATGGCCATACAAAAATTTGTGCATGAAGTTCATAGCAATTTCATTCACAATAGCCAAAAGCTAGAAACAAACCAAATGCCTATCATTAGATAAATGGATAAATTATCCAGACAATGAAAACTACTCAGCAACAAAAAGAAACACACAGCAATGATGAATCTCAAATTATTCCATTGAGTGAATCACATAACTGCATAAAAGAGTACTACTAACATAAAATGCTAACTAGTCTATAGTAACAAATAATAGATCAGTGGATGCCTACAGACAGGGATGAAGGCAAGGATGGATGCAAAGATACACGAAGGAATATTTTGGGAATAATGGAAACGTTTTGTATCTTGTTTGTGGTAATGATTCACAGGATATATACAACTGTCAAAACTCATCAATTCATATCGCTTGAATAAATGCAGTTAATTGTACATAAATTATTACTCGATTTAATTAAAAATAACATCAGAAACATCTGATTTTAATACATGTAACATTAGGACATACATCCACACAAATAAACACAAAACAAAATACAAATGAAAACCCTTGACACTGAAAAAAAAACTTTTCCATTTAAGTCAAAATCATTAGTAGAAGACTGTTTTTGTGATTTTACTACTAATGAAATCTCTTACTCACTTTGAGCACTAGAAGTTTCCTTTCCCAAATGTCATTGTCATATACCT